CATTATATACTAACAAAAAATAGCCTTTTTCGGATTTTGGCTTGATCACCATAGACCTTACGATAAATATTTGCAGGTATTAATATGATTAATTACCTGAATTGCATCAACAAGATATCCAGATAGAATGGATATCCACAAAGTCAAGATTGAAAGCCAAGCAATTGCTTCCCAGTGTGTAATCTCGGGCACTTCATCTTCATCCGAACCTTCATCGTTATTCTCATTTGTCTGTAGCATTGTTACAGATAAAGTTAGTTCTACACAAATGCTTAATTAGTTGCTTGTAGCTGCAAATGCATGTAATACTTGTGCACGAGCTATCATCATAGGACATACATTCCAAACAAAAAGATGGGATAATAATAATAATAGGCAAAATTGCATTTTTAATCTTTGCTGGTTTAAGGCCTTATCAATTTTAGTCCCCAACGGGTCAAACATTTCGCCTTTTGGTCCCGTGATTTAATATTTTGCTGCAATTTCAGTTCTTTGAGCACTCAAAGTGCAACAAATTCCCAGATTTTTTATTAGCAATTTAAGTCGTGTAATTTAATATTTTGTTGCAATTTCAGTCTTGTAATTTAAAATTTTGTTGCAATGACTAAAATTGCAGCAAAATATTAAATCACAGGACAAAAAGACGAAAAGTTGGAATCTTGGGACTGAAATTGCTATGATGTTAAACTAGGACTAAAAAATGCATTTTTGCCATAATAATAATAGAAGAAAAAAGATAATGTTAAGATGGGGTAGCTGGTAGCATTTCACTACCTACTATTGTCCAACCTTAAAAATATTGTTATGAAATTACAAACACATACCCACATACCTGGGAATTGTTTTATCTTGACAAACACCACGAATAAGCATGCAATGGTGTTTGGAATTTCAAAATATGGTTGATCTCTCTTTCATTTTTTTTCTTTTTTTTTTTCTTTTTGTTATTATAGTAAACCTTAGGGTACTTTTTTGTATATAACCCTAAAAGATGCGCATGTTTACATATTGCTCAATTTATTAAACACAGTATGTGGATAAACAGATACACAACCTCGTCAAGAGAACTATACAGCTTTTGTTGACTCTTTAGCTGAAAGAAAAGGTAGCTAGCATAAGCTATCAGCATTATGCAGCTGCTAACTCGCGAGAGGGCAATCTCCGATTTGCCCTTGTGAACCTCCGTATGAGTGAAGTGCAGCACAGCTGGAAACAAGATTCCCATGACAGCCATCAACAACAATCCTGAATTCACAAGGGCAGTGGCCTAAAGAAAGAAAAAAAAAAGGGGGGGGGGGNGTTATCTCGTTTAATTTACAAGTGCACCCTTGACATAAAGACAAAAAAAAAATTTAAATACAGAGAAGTTACAGGAAATAGGATTAAAACTTTAGAGGTATGTCATGATTATTCTGAAAATTTCAATCCAAAAATCATCCTTTTGGATGATGATCCCATCACCTTATTGAAAATCTGTACTTTGTGATGGTGAACAATCCCGCCACAGAAAAAGGCGCATCCAAGCACTAAAAGCATGTTAGACAAAATGGAACCGAGCAAAGATTGCTTAACAACTCTAATCATTCCGTTTTTCAATGCGTACATTGAAATTATCATCTCAGTGGCATTGCCGAATGTAGCATTAAGAAGGCCACCAACTGCAAAATCAAACAATGAAATAAAGTATATCGGTATTGGTAATAGAGAAATTGTTCATTATTCGAACATCTACCTTTATTATCAGAAAAAATTAAGCATAGGACCGAGACTTAAGGATATTGATTGCTAACTCAAGATTGTATTTTTGTTAACTGAGGGACTTAATTCTTTAATATATAAGCAAAATAATAATAATAATAATAATAATTTATTATTATTATTAAGCTCCATACACGAACAGGGCAAGGTTCAACATCGAAAAATGATGTTATGGTAGGTTTCAACAAGCTCTTCAAAAAAATCCTTAAAGAGATTAATGAGAAAAAATTTAAATCTATCAGAAAATTATAGTAACAAGCAAAACGTGAAAACGATGTGATTGATACCAGTCGGGCCTGTATAACACGCTAGTTGCCTGCAGCAAAAAAATGAAAGGAGATTACATATATTTGTTAAAACAAATGCAGAACTAAACAAACTCCATTTCTATTTACTTACTCGGTAGCATAACCCAATCGCTCGGCCAGTGGAGTAATGCCGAGTAGGCTGAAGAAAAAAACCCATCCCTATACCACACAATAGAGCAAATTAATGAAAATAAAAAAAATAAAAAAAGACATTTGTTTATATCTCAGTATAAAAAAAGACGTGTTTATATCTCAGTATCACCAAATTAACATTACTGATTTGTTTCCATAGACAAAAATTTAAAGTTTTTTCCTTACATGTAAATCAGTGAGATAGTGTAGCATAATCGCAAGCGGCCCGAACGGCAGCAAAACATTAATCTTGGCTTTAATCAGTACAATGTATATACTTCTCAATATACTGTTACGGTGCACCTTTCTTAATACCCAAGATGCTGAAAATCTTCGATTCAACAAGATGTTAGATGATTCGAAATTTAATGGTTGCATTTTGTTCGTTATCTGGGACCCACTAAACGGGGTCTCCTCATCCAATTCAATGTCTACTTTTTCTTCTACAGATCCCATCTGGAAAAAACATAAAAGAAAACCCATTCATCAATAAGTCATTCACCATTAAATGGGTAAAAAACAAAAGAACTTCAGTAGGTATAAGGCAGCACACCGATTACACGCCCCTCGATCATTAACACGAAAAGCTAGAGCACAAAATTAATTCAGTATGTATGACTAAGATGATTTTCTTACCAGATCATTGTGTAAAGACTAGAGAATTACTTTCCTGATCAAACCATGATTATCAATAACTTAAACGGTTACAAGAAAACACGCCAGGAATTGGAAAATTAGACAGTTTTATCTGCATTGGTGCTTAGTGCATCCAACAGACACACACAGAGAAGTATGTGAAACTCTTTGTAGTTTCCAAATCGAGTCAAACCTAGTCAACATAGAACAAGCAAGAACAACAAGCGAGCAGACCAGATCAAATTGCCAACAAAATTCGAAAAAAAAAAGGTAAATGGTACCTGGAAAATAAAAATCATATGATTATTACCAGAAACAAAAGCAGGCAAATCTAGACAGGCCCAGGTCAGGATCTTTTACAGAGACACACTTGATGCACAAAAACAAACGAAAAAATTAATAAAGATCGAGTCTTTACCATTGGTGAGCAAACAAAGACTCCTTTTTTCTAACTGCAGAGATTTGAAACCAAAAGTATCTGTCCCGTATTATCGTTTACTGTTTCCTTGCAAAACTCCAAGACTCTGATTTACACATACAAGACCCAAAAGTAAAATAAAAGAGGAAGAAGAAAAATAATTATTATTAGTAAAAGAAACTAGCAAAAACGCGAAGTCTTTGTCTCTTTGAAGAAGATGAATTAAATTACGTAAGATTTTTTTTATCAATTGTCTTGAAAATTGAGAGATAATTGGGGAAAATATGCCTTTGAGGGACCGTATTAAGGAAAGAAGGAATTTTCCAAGAAACTGTGTGTCATTTTTATTATGTATAATTAGTCAAATCGAATTCAATGGCTAATTTTTATAATGTAGTTGTACTGTGGTAGTAATCAATCGGTATTTTTACACGCAATCAGAATATAATGGATTATTGCTAAAACTGCCATGTTTAAAAAAAATACAAGTATAGATTTTTATGAATATATATACATTCATAAATTCTTGTGTGTACGTATTCTCTAACAAAAATGTACACTTGTTTTGTAAAATATTATATATTTAGAGTATAATATTCTAATTTGAAAAATATATACACATAGTAAAAATATATAATTGTTTAACCGTTAAGTGAGAATATAATTGTTTATAATTGGATCCCACTAAAAAAAACCTAATATGTGTTATGTGGAGTAGGAATATGCTCATTCTATTTTCTAATTTAATGCGTATTTCTGTTGGTTATTAGGAGATGGAAATTATGTAATTTTAAATAGGGTAAAATATTTTTTTAACGTATACTATGAATAATGGTAAAATGCAACTTAAATTTTGTGAGCACTTATAATTTGTTTGGTCATATATAAGCAAGGTTATAAATTATGAATCTTTATAAAGCCCATGTTTTATTGTACCATGAAAAATAATATAACTGAATGTTAGAAAAACACAAAGCCAATGTTTTACCCCCTTGATTATTTAATACTTATCTTTGTTGGTTTTTAAGGAGATAGGATTGAATATCACTAGTGAACAGTACCACCACCAACTGAAAGTTAAAACATCAATTGTTGGGCAACTATGATTTACGAGTAATTGACTTAATTATTTTTTAATTCGAAAAATTAAAAATCTTATCTTTTTCAAGAAAACGTTTATTTAAAGGGTAAAGAAACAATTTTAGACTTGTTTTCCTATAAACCCGTTTTGCTTGCAATTTTTGCAACATCTCCTTCTTTTTGAAAGATATTCATATTCATGAATAAAAAGAAATAAAGGAATAAGAATTTTAAATATTTGTAAACATGCCATAGTCAAATTCCTCTAAACAAATAGTTGTAAACAAATACTTGTAAACATAGTCAAATTCCTCTAAACAAATATTTTTAAACATGCCATAGTCATACTTCTTATAAACATAAACAAATATGAATAAGGTATGCAAATTCCTCTAAGAATATTGTATAGTTTAAATTTGTTCTTTGTGGTTGTGCACACGAGCCCAATAACTAATTGTCCTCACATTGGACAAGTCTATCAATTTGGGCCAGAACAAGGGATACACAATCCCATAATAAAATGGGAAATTTGCAAGCATACTGCACGAAATTGAAGTAATTTAGAATTTACCATTCACAAACAAATAATTATGTATAGACTTAGTAGACAAACAATAGTTACATTATTGCCTAAAAATCAGTTACCCATCGTAACATCCTCCATTCCATATCTTCTCAGCATGATTTTCGGGATGTTACCAGGAAAAAAAAAATGGAATTTTTATCCTGCGACTATACATATATATTTAACATATACTGTACATATAACGAACATATACTGTAGATATACCACAACACAACATAAACGATAGAAGCGCCATCGATTTTTTTCTTAAGAAAAGTTATGTAAATATACCACAAAAAAAATGACTGATCGATTAAAATCAAGGTATTTTTTTTCCATGTCAATTTATTTCTTTATGCTTTTTTTAATTGATCTTAACGTTCAATGAAACATACATAAATTTACTATCTTTTTTACGCAAAATATACCAAACATTGCTCAAAATATACAAAACATATACTGATCATTACTAAAAAATATACACAACATATTTTTACTCAAAATATACCAAACATTACTCAAAATATACCAGCAGAAATTGGGGACATATACTGAACATATATCGAACATATACTGAAATAGCTCCAGGCGTCGAAATTAATCCACATTACTCAAGCCTCAAATTTTTTATCCATCTTCATCTGCGCGGAAAAACTCCCAATTAAATCCACATCACTCAAGCCTTAATTGAACTCTCGCATAAAAAAAAATCAGAATTAACATGAACCCGTCGGAAAGAGGAAAAAGGAAAAAGGCCGCTGCTCTTTCGGGTTCCCCTCACACATACGGGTTGCTCGAAAAGAAAACCGACGAGGGGCCGACGAGGGCCGAAAGTGTCGCTGCTCCTGTTCGGACGGTCGCTGGAGGTGCTGGCCCGACAAATGGCTAGGGTCGATTGCTGCTCATCTGAAAATTTCGGCGGAGAGTGTTATTTCGGGGACCGCCGACGAAAGATGACGGGGCTGCCGCTGCTGTTCGACCATTGAACGAAGGCCGACGGGGAGTGCTGCTGCTGAATGGGGTCTCGATGATGGTTTTTCCGGCTTCCGGCAACCAGATCGAGTAGAGAGAGGGACTTTTGTCGTCGCCATTGAAGTAGTAAAGGGAAACCGATGAGATGAGATTTTTTGCGGTGAATGTAGGGCGGTGGGTGCTTTTTTGTTGGAGAGATATTATCTTCACCGTAAAATCAACAACTTCCTTAATTATCTCATATAATTTAAACGGTTACCCTTAGGTATATCTGCAATATTTTAGGTTGATTTTAGTACAATTATAAATATTGATATAATAAGTGTATAATTATAATATATTTGGAATCTTGAAGTAAGGGGTGCAAATTCTTCTAATATTGTATTAGGGAATAATAATAAAAATAATCACAAGTTAAACTCTATGTTGGATATATTGGATAATCAACTCAAAGTAAAGATCTCTACAAGAAATCAGAAATAAAAATAAAAAAATAGAATCAAACTACATACAATCAAACCTTCTTTTTTTTTCCCCTTTTCATAAAGGAAAAAGAACTCATCACTCATCAGCATCAAAAAAGCATAAATGACAGTTCACATACAATACAACGTAACATTTTTCACTAGCCAACACAGAACACAACTTGCAGATCACAAATCAGTTTTTAGTGTTTGTAAATACCAATTCCTCATCCCCATTTAACCGAAGGTTCGATCCTAACGTTTGGGGGGAATTTGAGCTTCTGCTACAAATTACAATAAATCGCTTATTCTAAAAGCAAAGATAGGCAAACACTCATATGCATTGTTCTTCGGCTTCTAAGAAAACAAAATTCCTAGAAAAATCTGCCAGAAAGAATCAATAATAGCAATGAAAGCCACTGATACCAAAGGAACACTGCACATTTATAATGTATGATACATGTCCCAGATAGAAAGAAAGAGAAAAAAGAAAAAACAGATATAGACAGCCACTGATAAATCATACAGAGGAAAGGAAAAAAGGCAAACCTAACATGATCACATGTCTGCACAACAACACATTTTCTCATTATTGGAATGCCTTTTGATAAAAGCAAGATGATGAAAGATAACAAGATCTACTAAAAGGAACCAACAAAATCTTACTCAAAACAGAGGCTTTTTCTTGCCCAAACTCATCATAAGCCCTATCACACTTCACTACAAAAACAAATGACTAAATGTTTGGTTTTAACTTACCCATCTTAGCAAAGACAACATGAATGTATGACCCCAACATCCAAAAGCTCATTCAATTAACATCAAGAGAAAAGGAGTCTCTTTCCCTTTGGGCAACAGTATCTATCCACACAACACCACTGGTTAAATCGATTAAAGATCACAAAATCCAATATCACATTCACTCGACAATCTCTCGAACGGTAAAGATATAGAACTCAAACATAAGTAAAAAGAAAGAAAGAAAATAAAAAAAGAACTATATTCAAGATTTGCTAAATGATCCCAAAACTTGGAGAGAAAAAAAATCACATAAGAATAGAATCCCATTCACCTTCACCAGCATTACACACTATCGTTAAATTCAAGATCTTTGCTAAAATTTCAGCCTTACTTAAATCCCCTTCCTCAATTCATTAGCCTGCAGTAACCTCATACAACAAAAAGTAATAACCAAGATACAAAAATAAAAGAGAAAAAAAAAACCCAAAAAAAAAAAAAAACCAAGTACCCCAAATCTACAAATAACAATCAGGACGAACGAGGAGGAGGCGGCAAAAGCTGGTGCATCTGGTGGTGCGCCTGCACCGGATTATTCCCCCGGCCAGGGGAAGAATACTGCAGGATAAAAGGATGCTTTAGGAGCTGCCCGGCCGTCCACCGCCTTGCCGGATCCCGCTGGAGGCAGCAAGCAATAAAATCCCTAAACTCCCGGCTGGCCGCCGGCGGGGCCTCCGGCGGCTTGGACATACAGATGGCGCACATTAGACTCGCCCAGTCACCTTGCCTTCCCACCCCAAAAGGGAATTTCCCCAAATAGAACTCCAAAATGCTAACGCCCAAACTCCAAATGTCGCCGGCGTAGCCATCGTACTGGCCGTGGTTCAGATCGGTGTTGATCCTCTCCGGGCTCATGTAGGCGATGGTGCCGACGGATGAGTTGCAGGGGTCCATCGTCTGAGCGAGAACCCTAGACACGCCGAAATCTGCAATCTTGACGATTTTGCGGGAGTTGATGAGGAGGTTGGAGGGTTTGATGTCCCGGTGGACGATTTTGCGGCGGTGGAGGTAGTGGAGTCCGGCGAGGACCTGGCGGGCGACGTCGGAGAGTGAGGGCTCTTGGGGGATGTGGGTCCCCTCGAGGGAGCCGCCGTCCATGTACTCGAGGAGGACCTGGATCTCGCCGTTGTGGTCGTAGAGGTTGTGGCAGGCGACGACGTTTGGGTGGTCGACGTCGCGCAAGATCTGGATCTCGCGGCGCATCTGGACGCGGACGGCGTCCTCGTGGTTGCCGTAGATGACCTTGAGGGCGTAGACTTTACCCGTGGGGCGGTGGACGACCTTGTAGACGGTTCCGCCGGCGCCGCTGCCGATGCGGCTAGCGCGATCGAGGTCGGCGTAGNGCGGCGCGGTTTCCGGCGGAGGGGGACGGCGGAGGCGGTTGCTGGGGTCTCATGATTTTGATCGATATAGGAAAGAGATGAAAAGGGCTAGGCTAAATCAACCGAGAAAACTGATGTTTCAAGCTCAAGAGAATGATAGGAATCTGCCGGAAATGGTAGAAGGATGAAGGACAAA